CTCTTTCAGTTCTGATCCCATGACATCGTATTTTGTAGGCAACATACTGCCCGCTTTTCAACCTCTTGTCTTTTTGTCCTTTTAAGCAAATTTTGTAGAACCACTGCCCAAGATACCATTACCTTCATGTTTCAGACATTTTGCAAAAGGTAGTATCGTACTAATTTCTTCCTGATCTGATAAAAAGATGGGAGGCTATAAATCCGCATTGTAACATGGTAAATGACAGAGATACTGAAAAGTATCTACAATAGTGATTCATTAGTTTAAATCCCTAAGACCAATTTCATTACACTAGTTACAAAAACAGGTCCATGTCTTTCATATTTTGCACAAGCGATCAGTATTCTTTTCTCCTACTTAGCAGCGGACTGTAATTCACAGGAGATGTTTAAATTTAAGAGAAAAATACGTACTGAAAATTTTTAATCCTCTTAAAAATTTTCATTTAAATGCAAGAATGATTACCTTCCAAATCTAACTCCTAATTTTAATTAGCAGAATACAGAAAGATTTCTCCCCCAATGTATTCACTATCAGTGGTGTTCCTGAAGAACTTTGTCCCCGTGAAAGAAAAGCTTTGTTATGTGACAAATCACAGATGTCACTATCAAAACAGAAGAATATTTCTGTGCTCGTGTCTCTGTTGTCCAAAGCTCTACCATGGCTCCTTGAGGAACCTTGATTGTTCTACCCGTGTTATCTACCACACAGCTACCAGAAGCAGCAGCAATAACTTTCACAGGAAAGACTTGGCTGGCCTGTAAATGATCAATTCATACTAAAATAAACATAACTCTGACGGCACTCCAGATGGTCTCCAACAACTCATATGATCAAACTGGAAGGAGGAAAAGGAAAGGATCAGAAAAGAAGCGTTTCAGCATAACTTGCAATCCTTTTCTATAAATCTCCACAGTCACAAATTTCTCTGTGAGCCTCTATAAGCCAACATCATGCAAAGTCAGGAACCATTATTCTTCTAATCATTCTGTATTTCAGAAACTTCATACTGAAAACATCTTCTTTGAAAGGATCTACCTTCACTGAGCCGCAGGAGATGAGAATTAAAATTAATCACATAATTTGCTTTGACTTTTGTGGAACAATCTCCAGTTATGATTTTACTCAAAATGGCGCAGAAAAAAAAAGTTGTGAAAAGCTTTAGATCCTGCAAACAGTGCAACAAAACATGTATAAGCCAACAGAACGCTGTGACTTCAACATTTGTAAAGAATAAGCCTTTACAACACCTCAGCTAATTTGTACTTAGCTTCTTGTTTTAATGCTGTGAAGTGTTGTGGAACGCTGACCATTTATTTGCTTTGCAAGGTAGTCTGAGTACCAAACCAGCAGCAACTTTTAATTTCATTTGCTGATCTGCGTAATACTTTAAAAGTATCTTGATAATTTCATAAAAGCTGTTTCAAGCGGGTTGTTTCCTCAGAATTCACAACATTTTTATATACATTATGCTCTCTATGTATCAATAGCAGATGAACACAAATACTATTTTATTTATTCCTTCCCCACCCTGCCCCAGTTTCTCTTTCATATGCATGTTTCTAAATACACTTGTTCAATGACTGATAAATGTATTAAACTTAGAGGAATCTTCTGAAAACAGGTAAGGTTCAAAGATTATATTCACTTAGAAAAAGGTCAAATTGTTTACAGTTCTACAAAATTAGTGTCAAAGGCATATAAGAAATAACAGATTCAAATAGATGCATGTAATAGCAAGCATTAGATTCCATGACAAACAGTTAAAACAGTAAGAAAATGGATATTTCTTTTCCAGCTAACTGTGAGCACCAAACAGCAAGTCAGTAGTTCCCCCTCTGAGCTTTCATAAAGGTCCTCACCTGAATTCTCTACCTAACCAAGTTCTTTACTCAGTTGTTTATTTTTTATTATCATCATTCAATTCTCAAGCCCTGTACTAAAACTAGGATCAAAGGCTATCGGAGAAAGAGGCAAACAGCACCATTTAAAGTAGCTTTACTTCCTAAAAAACAAATTGACAATCCTGTAATACAAATTTGTCAACTTACTCAGATAACTTACTCAGGCTATTACCTAAAATATATTAAACAGTTGCCTTTTTTTTTTTCTAGCAATGTTCTAGAAAGATTAATTCTTCAACAGCTCTAGAAATTACAGAGAGGCTAGACAAGTGGCAAATAAATTCAATTAAAATGACAGAATGGCTCTAAACCACTGCAGGTGCAATAAGCTTGTGCAATTCTTGCCGGTTTGTGCAAGGACTGGTCAGGACAGCTAATCCTGGTTATACAGTAAATGGGGTCACAGAATCAGCCAGTCTCTACAGCTACTCATTGAAACTTACCCCCCTGCACTAACACTGAAATTACTGATAACCCAGTTCTACACAGCTGAAGGAAGTTTTTCAGTCACTAGATACCAGCAAAAAAACCCTCCCCGTTTTCCAGAACACACACCAGAAAGGGGATTCTTTGGTCAACTCCAGTCACTTGTTTTGGTGGTTCTCTAAAGAGCTATGAACTAAAACTTACATCACATAATTGTGGGGTGAGCTTTTTAAAAATGGCAATATTCTTCTTAACTCGAGCTCAAAACTCATAGCTGGTGGTAAAGTGACTAAAGCTCTTCAAGTTTAAACACCACTAACACTGCAAAAGATTTTACTTTATTTTTAGCCTGTCCTCGGAGTTGTCAGGAAATGGTTGATACTCACACTTCATAGCACAGCTGAGACTTATGCTTTTATAACATTTAAACAGTGATTATCCAATTAACACCTCTTAATAATTAGCATACCTAAACTGACATACAAATAAGGGTACACATTTTAAATATTACTTAACATCATCTTTCTGTCATCTCCTATTGCTAAACATATTCTTCTTAACATCAAGGTTAAGGTTATTACTAATGCAGAACTGAAATTAATTTGACACATAGTGAAAAAGGACTCCAGTCAAGTAAGGAGCTCTTAAGTTCAGCTGCATTTCTTCCACTTTAATGGACCGTTCAATTAAACCGAAATCAGAAAAATAATCAGCATTTTAGTAGTATTAATGTAGTTAGAGAACTCTCAAAATTGGCACATTCTTTCACTTGCCAAATTCATACTCATCCAACCAAGATGCAGCTAAATGAGTGGCAAAGAATGAAATACTTATTTTTTGCAGATTTTCTTTACTTCATAAAAAAGATTTCCACTGTTTCAGATTAGGTTTTTTGATACCTATAATTACACCTTAAATTTATTTTCAGTCTTTCACTTCCAGCAGCTAATTAGCATATACCCAAAATGAAAAGGCCATTAGTCAACTATGACCGAAATTAGTCCAAAATGCAAAATCTGATTCTGCCTGTCCATGCCCCACCAAAATCTCAGACTAGATGATTAATGAAGTTGCAAACATTAATGAATTTCTCTCATAATAAGACGTGGAGCAGGGCGATTTCTGTAGGGTAGCCATCTTTGGCCCAGGAACCGGCTCTACATCATCTACACACGGGAGATATGGAGTGATTGCCTTCGTTTTCGCTGCTTCTTCTCCCACTTCTCCTTCACTCATTAAACTATTTTTATCTCAACCCAGGAGTTCTCACTTTCACTCTTCCTTTCTTCTTCCTCCATCCCACCGCATATGGGAGTGGGAAGTGAGTAAGCATCTGTGCAGTGCTTCGCTGCCTACCAGGGTTAATCCACACGACCTGTGCTTTCCTGAATAACTGCTCTTGACTCTGTTCTCTGTTTCTACCTGAAGGGAAGGTACAGAAGAATGGAACCAGATGATTCTTGAAGGTGCATGGTGACAAAACAAAAAGCAAAAATACAAGAAGGCACTCAGGAAATTCTGAGAGTACAGAAGAAAAACACGAAGGTGGCTGAATATTGCATGCAGTGCCACTGTCACAGCTTTCCTCAGTGCAAAGGTTATTTACATCTCCCCACCATCCAGCAGCATGACGGGAGGATGAGGATAAACAGCATACTAATCCAGGACTATCTTTGTATAAACTTTATAGAGGGCAATGCAGTAAAACGTATCAGGGGAGAAGGGTCGAAGCAGAAGAGGCACGGCAGGTATGATGTTTATAAAAGAGAAATGTAGGGCAAAAGAAGCGACTGAGTTGGGAAAGGATCCAAGTTACAAAGATCAAGCGTGGGACATTAAGGAACTTACAGCAGTAAAATGGAGGAATGTCTACAGAGTCTTTCAAATCAAGATCATTATGCACAATTTCCTGAATTTCTTTGCTTATTTTAAATAGTTAACTGAATAGAATTCATAGACATCGGACTCTTCATTAGTCCTAATGCCTCCACCTTGCTTGCTTCCATTCAGTGTTTTCCTCTGACACGTTTCAGATATTCTCCTTGAACAAAATTTAAGTAATTTCCTACTTTGTTTGGCATTATTTATGTAGAAGGGAAATAAAGAAATAGTCATTTCATAAATCAGTCACTCCCTGGTGATCTTTGCTCACTGCCATTTCACAAATTGTCAGGAAGCAGAGAGTAGACAGGGCAATACCTCTGGCCTTCCTTCCCTCCCAGGAATCAAAATCCCATCTCGTTGTAAGGCTGGAAGTACTACTGTCATTTCATCACATTGCTTTAGTCACTCTGAAAGTGTGTGTTACATGACAAACAGGGAACAAAGTTGTCCTCCACTGCTTCTAAACAGATTTTAAAAATATATATATATACACACATATATTTACACATACATGTAAAATATAGCATATATGCATGTATCTATATAACATATAACATCTGTTTATAATCATATATAGATAAGTTAATATGTCTATAGGTTATTATAGTAATCAGAATATTATACCATAATTACATTTATAAATATTTCATGCCATAATTCCTTCAAGAAAAGCACCAAATAAGTATTTACAGAGATTTTTAGACTGTTACTGATCAATAAATAGATGGTAACGCTTTCCTACTGCAGATCTTGCAATAAGACTAACCCATGTATCACATTTCTACCAAAAATTCCTCATCTTTGTTTCACAATACAACATTTCTGGAACTTTATGCCATTTATTAAAAATATAAAATCAATAGCCTGAACTTTTTCAAAAGAAGTCATTGATATCTTTCATTTTCTAAATCCTTTATAAAAATCTCATTAGGTCAAATAATGTGTATGTGTGTCTCCAAAAAAAAAAACCAAACTTTAAAGAAGTCAATCACTCAAAAGGCACTTCTGAAGCCAAAATTATGCTCAAGGCA